AATCAAATGAAAAATGGTGTGTCTGATTGGTCCAGATGCTACAACGCTGAACACAACAGATTGTCCAACGGAGCAGTGTAACTTTTTATATGTTTCTTTAATTTATTTCTTACGTTTCCGTATTTTATTTTGATAATGAACAGGCTGCAGTGTTGCAAAAATATGTTGTGTCTGTGTGTGTGTGAGGCGCTGGCACGATATGGTCATACAAGACATCATTCAAAACTTTTGCAAAATAAACTGTAAAATAAATAAAACTGTAAAGCTTTGTAAAATAAAGAAAACTACTTTCTGTCGTCTAGTTTTCCTTTCCGAGAACTTTGGATCGCATCACAATGAACCGAAACTCAGCACATTTTTTTCTTTTATTTTGTTAATCTGTCAATGATTTAAGTGAAATATATTTAGTGTATATGCCTATATGTTTCTTTTTATGTAAGCCTATAGTTTTATTCTGTTTTCTCCGTTCACAGAAGTGCTGCAGGTGTGTGTGATCTGTTGTATCCATCTTACACTATCCTCGGATAAACTAATGCCAGTGCATTGCCATTGCGACTTACCTTTGATGAGTTCACAGCTGAGCGCGGGCATTTCACTCGCTGGATGCATCAGTGTCACATTTGCAGGCTGTACTACTTAAATTCCTGATTTGTTGACAGCAAATTTCAAATATTAAATGGAACGATAAAATAACGTTATTAACCGGTTAATGGCCATTTCAAATTTTCGATTCTGTTCGGAGCTATAAAATTTGATTTAGTTTCTGTTTCTGGTTTTGTTTCTGTCAAAATTCCATTTGTTTCTGGTTTTCGTTTTCGTTCCTTGAACCGGTTCAGAGCCCTGTTTAAAATACATTTATTGTATACTAAGTATTGTTCAAATCTATTAACATAGTTACTGACAAATAACTCGAGACTTACTGATATTAAGTCTAAAATGTGTTTTAATGTCACTTTTGAATAATATCGGTCTTTAAATGCAAAATATTTCAAGTGTACCTGAAGTATACTTGCAATAGTTCCACTTTAGCACAATCAAATATACTAAGTAGTGCTGTCAAACGATTAATCGCGATAAATCACATCCAAAATAAAAGTTTTTATTTACATAATATATATGTGTGTACTGTGTATATTTATTATGCATATATAAATGCAAATATAAATATAAATGTCCAGGTCCATAAATATAAATACACACACATACAGTATATATTTTGAAAATATTTACATGTATTTACATGTAAATATTTATATTCATATAATTTATATTGTATATAAATATATTTAATATTTAAACGTAACATTTTTCTTAAATATATACATGAATGCATGGGTGTGTATTTATATATACATAATAAATGTACACAGTACACACACTCATACTATGTAAACAGAAACTTTTATTTTGGATGCGATTAATCGTTTGACAGCACTAATACTAAGTATATCTTTAATTGGACTTCAGCACTACTTTCGCACAATTAAAGTGCATTAAGTACAAAATGAGTTGTTCCAATTTAGCAGACTTGAAGTATACCAGTTTAGTATACTAAAAGTACAATTGCAGGGCATTTTATTAAGTACATAAATATGAAAAAGTATTTGTAGTATGCTTAGCATGAAATTAATGTATTTCAAATACATATAAGTATATTTATTTTTCACTAGGGTATTCATTACTAAAGCGACATTTTCCAGGAACTGTGGCACTTTGATTGAATAAAAAGGTGTTAAAAAGCTCAGCTGGTTAGCATAAGCTATCGTTTCTGTCCAGTTCTACTGCAGTGTGACCAAACACATGTGATTGTGACATTTGTGTCTCATTTCTGTCTCAAAACAGAAAAACGGATCTCAAATAGAAAAAATACCTTTATTGATATTTCCCCCCGTTGACATTTTATTGAAGTTCCTCCAAACTTTTTACTTTCCAGTGGAGTCCTTTAGTCCTCAACCCAAGCTATACCATAATGCACTTGCTAGGAGCTAATAAGGTACCCTGGCTATGTAGTGTGCTGCATGATACTGCATGAGCGTCAATGTGACATCCCGTTCTTGCTCAGTGAATACTAAGCTGTTGTAAATGTGCGGTTGTATGGACACGCCTTTTAAGGTTGACAGCAAATTTCAAATATTAAATGGAACGATAAAATAACGTTATTAACCGGTTAATGGCCATTTCAAATTTTCGATTCTGTTCGGAGCTATAAAATTTGATTTAGTTTCTGTTTCTGGTTTTGTTTCTGTCAAAATTCCATTTGTTTCTGGTTTTCGTTTTCGTTCCTTGAACCGGTTCAGAGCCCTGTTTAAAATACATTTATTGTATACTAAGTATTGTTCAAATCTATTAACATAGTTACTGACAAATAACTCGAGACTTACTGATATTAAGTCTAAAATGTGTTTTAATGTCACTTTTGAATAATATCGGTCTTTAAATGCAAAATATTTCAAGTGTACCTGAAGTATACTTGCAATAGTTCCACTTTAGCACAATCAAATATACTAAGTAGTGCTGTCAAACGATTAATCGCGATAAATCACATCCAAAATAAAAGTTTTTATTTACATAATATATATGTGTGTACTGTGTATATTTATTATGCATATATAAATGCAAATATAAATATAAATGTCCAGGTCCATAAATATAAATACACACACCTACAGTATATATTTTGAAAATATTTACATGTATTTACATGTAAATATTTATATTCATATAATTTATATTGTATATAAATATATTTAATATTTAAACGTAACATTTTTCTTAAATATATACATGAATGCATGGGTGTGTATTTATATATACATAATAAATGTACACAGTACACACACTCATACTATGTAAACAGAAACTTTTATTTTGGATGCGATTAATCGTTTGACAGCACTAATACTAAGTATATCTTTAATTGGACTTCAGCACTACTTTCGCACAATTAAAGTGCATTAAGTACAAAATGAGTTGTTCCAATTTAGCAGACTTGAAGTATACCAGTTTAGTATACTAAAAGTACAATTGCAGGGCATTTTATTAAGTACATAAATATGAAAAAGTATTTGTAGTATGCTTAGCATGAAATTAATGTATTTCAAATACATATAAGTATATTTATTTTTCACTAGGGTATTCATTACTAAAGCGACATTTTCCAGGAACTGTGGCACTTTGATTGAATAAAAAGGTGTTAAAAAGCTCAGCTGGTTAGCATAAGCTATCGTTTCTGTCCAGTTCTACTGCAGTGTGACCAAACACATGTGATTGTGACATTTGTGTCTCATTTCTGTCTCAAAACAGAAAAACGGATCTCAAATAGAAAAAATACCTTTATTGATATTTCCCCCCGTTGACATTTTATTGAAGTTCCTCCAAACTTTTTACTTTCCAGTGGAGTCCTTTAGTCCTCAACCCAAGCTATACCATAATGCACTTGCTAGGAGCTAATAAGGTACCCTGGCTATGTAGTGTGCTGCATGATACTGCATGAGCGTCAATGTGACATCCCGTTCTTGCTCAGTGAATACTAAGCTGTTGTAAATGTGCGGTTGTATGGACACGCCTTTTAAGGTTCATTTTGTCCATCTGTTTTTGTTTTGTAAGTAATTTTGTTTTGGTCAGTTCTGTCCTTGGTTTTACAGCTGGATTTGTTTCATCTTGTAATAAATGTTGAATTTTGAAGGCTAGAAAGATGAAAGATGGTCAAATGAATCATTAATGGTTACAAATGAATATGCTTCCATCTGTTGGCTTTTGTCAGTAATGCAATTGTTTGTGGTCTATACAAAGATGGTCATTGTGAGATTATGTTGAAGTTGACTGTTTGAAATGAACATGTGACACTGCATGTATGTATTTTTGTCTGTGAGAACAGTTTGATTTAACCTGGGACCCAGCAACACGTTTTGTTTTTTGGTTAATTTCTTTGACCACATATGTAAATATGGTTCATTTTATAGAAGACATCCTGGGCTTTTTAGATTATTACATACCTTCCTCTTTCTCATCTTGATTTTACAGAAATAGAAAATGCAAATATTTATTTATTTATTTATTTTAGTATTATTTTAAGAAATATATTATTTTGCTCTACAAGTAAAAAATGTAAATCATGTGTGACATATGTCTTATCTGTAGACAAGACAATACAAGAAAAAAAATAATTTTCATGTGTCACATTAGGAAGTAAAAATTATGCAGCATTTATCATTCTCATAACATATATTTTTTTGCTTGGTCCCAGAAGGTTAAATGGCTTAAATAAATATCATATGCTGAATACTCTCTTTATCCCTGTCTGTTTCCCAGGGTCGTCAGCTGCGAGGTTTTAGAGGCTTATTTAATAAAAGTTCCAAGTCCTCAGTGGACACACATATTGGAGTTCCACCTCGTAAGCGATCCATAACCGACCACCTCCTTCGGAGGACTGCCAGTGCCCCTGCTAAGGGCCGCAAAAAGATAAAGATGCCACTGACTGAAGCTACAAGTGACAGAAAGCACAGCACTGGGGACCCTCAAACCACTTGTGTAGAGAGGAGAGCAGGAAACAGAAAAGCCCTCCAACACCGCCCAGCATCCATGCCCCTGGATAAGCTCCTACATAGTCACCTCAGCCTGTCCACCCCAGATCGGGAGGGCCCTGATCCTGGAGCTGACACAGTCATTGGTTAGTTCCTTAAATAATTCCCTTGACATCCCCTTAGGGACTGTGTCATAATGAATCAGAATGTGAACTGTTACACTATGCAGTAATTTATATTATTACTCTAGCTATGAGGCATAATTAGATTGGATGTTGACAGTTGCTTCTTCTTCAGTTTCAGTCAAATCCAAATAACATTAACACAAGTTTTATGATAAGAAAAGCTGAATATGCGCTGCATCTGCTGCCTACTTATACTCACGCTGTGATCAGCGGCAGCTGGATGCAATAATCGCATGCCAATGTGCATTGGCTCGTTTAGTTTACACTCGAAGTAGATTGGTCTCTCTAAGCGAGATCCCAATTCGTCGGTCATCCGACGTGACGTCGAGAGTGACCGACTGAAAGGGAACAGTTTTTTTCCTTAGCTTCTGCTATTATCTCAGAGAAGAAATTATATGCAAATTTTCATTATTTCTCTATAATTTCACTTCTACTAATAATTTAATTGTTTATTTAACACTTTCACATGCTCTCTATTTTTTCGCAGTGCTTTTAAAGGGATAGTTCACCAAAAATGTTAATTCTGTCATCATTTACTCAGCCTTGTTCCAACCCTTTATGACTTTCATTCCTGCGCAGTACATAAAAAAGATAAGATATTTTTAAAAAGTAAAAATTATTTTGGGTGAATTATCCCTTTAAGTATTGTATTTAGTTCCTCTACTGGTCCCTTTGAAGTATTCAGACATGCAGTCTTTTCTTTCTTTAATACCTTAACTTGCCTTTGTCTTGTTCTGTCTTTACTGTTGTGCTTCTCTATAGTAGAAAACTGACTAGGAAAACCCCTGCAGGTAATCCACAAGCCATACTCGGGTTGACTCACCTAAAACATTCCAGTTTTAAGCCATTGCACCAATGTTTTTGAACTACTTTTGTTTTGTTTCATTAAAAAACAAAAAACAAACAAAAAAAACAATTCATCTTTAAAAAAAAAAAAAAGAAAAGAAAAAAAAGAGCAACAAATCTTGGATGTTCAACAAATACCTGGATGTTCCCCATGCACCTACACAGTGCCATTATCAAACTTCCTTCTCACAGTCGTACTTGGTGGTACATTCCATTTGTCCTGTGTTTAGAGTGGCGTGTGTTGGATTTTGGTGTTTGAAGGTCACTGAGGGTTTTTTTCTTTTTTACTGACAATCATCTCCTGTAAAATGTCTTCCACAGATTCCTTCCTCAGTGAGAAACCCAGATCTATCTCAGTTGATCTCCTCTTTGAAACTTCTGCCTTCAAAGAGCCTGATGTCAATGCCCTTTCAGCTGACCACATTCAAGACTGTAATATTGAGCCCAAAGATACAAAAGAAACTCCTTACCTGGTCATTGAGGGCAGTAGGGAAAGTCTGGGTAATCCTAACCAGGAACACTCAAGAGGTGGTCTCACCCAGACCGAAGCTGATAAATTATGTTCTTCCAAAGGGCCAGCAGACCACTTGTCAGGTCATACAGATCAATGTAATGGCGGCAGTAGCTCACTTAGTGAAGTAAGTCATAGAGAATTAAGCCAGTTGGAAGCCCCTAAAAAGAACATTCTAACAGCCAAGGCAGCCACGTATTCCTTGACTTCCTCTTCTTCCTTATCTTCAGGAACCATCACCAAATTCTCTCCTAGAATGACTCTGCCAGACCAGAAGAGTCAAGTGTCCCTCCAGGACAGTGCTCTCTCTCGCCTTATTGACGCCGTCTCACTAGAAAACGAGTATGACACCTGTGGATCCATATCTGCTCTGATTGGCCAATTTGAGCTCACTGCTGAGCAGAGCTCCCTAATTCCATTCAACTCACAACCCATGAAAAATTATATTCCTTCATCTGACCTTCCTCATCTCAACACTGAGCTTTCCAGCACACCACTAAAAGTTATCCAAAAATCTGTGTGCGTAACCTCAGAGCTAACCGAGAGACCTTCTAGTCCTGAAACGACTGAACCTGCAGTCTTTACCATCTTGGATGAGGAGGTGCTTTCTCCTGTACCTACAAAGAGCCTTTGTCAAACCAACTTTCACAATGACTTGGTTGGTTCTCATGTGGTCAGCAAGAGATCCTCACCCAACAAGATGGCTTTAGAATGGTCTGCACGTGGAAATCTAAAGCAAAACTATAGCAGCGAATGCCATTCCACTGGTTCCTTTAGAAACTTTGAATTTGGAGGATACAGAGAAACCTCAATCAATAGCACCCCCTCAGACCGCTTCTTGCTGTGCCAAGACTCTGCAAGCAGCAGTCTGATGGAGGTGGAGATCAATGTAGACGGGGATCCCTTAGACAACACACCGACCCATTTGAGTCCCTTTCACGGGTTCAAAAGTGTTCACAGCTTAAACCAGACCTCCCCCTATCATGTACAAAGACTTGAACCAACCCATCTCCACAAACCCTCATACAATCCCTCTCCTGTTCACTCATACTCCACAGACACATCACTCTTTCACAGACACTACCAATCTCCACACCAAAGTCTGAACTCTAGCACCTACCTTACTAACAAATTGCAGCGAAGGAAGTTTAACTGTTATAATGACTCCGGGAGATTTACACTTGGTGACCACAGAATAGATGACCCAGAGGGAAGGCACCAGGAGACAAGAGACCAAAACAGCTTGGTCAGCAGGGCAGAGCATATACACAAAAGCTCTTTGACCTCAGAATGTCTTGCAAAGACTCAAGGCTGTCATAATTTGTTAAAGAGGGACTTGTACACACCTGTATCAGACTACAACATGATTTCAGTTGAATCGCAAGACTCTTATACCCAGCCATCTTCACACAATCAGGCCTTTCCTGTACCTCCTCCTCAGCTGTACAATGGACTCTCTCCAGCTTCCTCCAAGTCCAAGAGCCTGGGAGACCTGACCTCTGAGGACATTTCATGTAACTTTCAGAGCAAGTACAAGTCAATCAGCCGAAGTTTTGTCACTCCTGCAATGAAAGACCAAAGACGGATCTGTGGGTTGTCTGGTCGTCCGAAGTCCACTGATCCCTTAACTGAGCAGCTTCGCAAGCTTGTAACGTTGGAAAATGAAGACTATGCGCGCCCCCTCCCCTCTTGTTCACAACTCATCCCGAAACCCCTTTCAGTGCTCCCTCTGGTTTCTCAGAGCTCTGCCGATGATCCTGAAGACCCTCCACCATTTCTGTCAAGGCGACTGTCGTCCCGCAGTCAAAGTCGTGTACGTCATATAGCCAATCGCGCACGTGAGAGACAGCAGGAGGCTTTCAAACACCGGCCTGTTGAGGGTGCCATGGAAGTAGTACTCCGTAATAAACCAGTCTCCTCCCAAAATCCTCCACTGAACAGGCATTCTACAGGCTCCTATATCGCTGGTTACCTGGACCAGCTGGGTCCTGAGGCCCGAGGCTTGCCTGAAGGAGCCTGCACCTCACTACGCTATGGATACGGAGATCGGTACTATAATGATGATTCTGTACTCCCTCCTGACTTCTCCAACTCATCAGAACCTGAGGTCTTCTTCCTACTTAGGCTTTGACCTTGCATCTCACCTGCTGTTTTTGACTGTGCATGTATTTCCTAGTAACAGTTGCAACTACATGTAGCAGGACACTTCCAGAACTATGTACATATGGCATATAACATGGTCTCCTATATGTGCTACTCTTGCTGTATTTAACTAATTATTTTATATACATGTGGTCCTTGTCATTCTTAAAAAAATATTGTTCAAAATGTGTGTCGTCTCAAGGTTAAAAAAATAATAACAGTAAATAATTGAATTGGATATTTCTTGCAGACATTTTTGTTGTTGTCAGCTATTTGTTCTTTTTTTAAACTATGAAGTACAACAAAGTCATGAAGAGGCTTCTCTTTTTATTCAGTCTTCCTGCATATTATGTTATTTGTATGTCTGTGTAGTTTGTACATATGTTGGTAAATTTATCCTCAGTCAAAGCACTATTGGTTTTCATTTAAATTTTAACTACTGTGATGTTTTTTCTTTAGCATGTGAACCGTGAACATGTTCAGCATGACTATGCACAGACCTGTAGATGCTGTGCTCTAATTTTGCACAGAATGATTCTGTTGTATTGAATGCAATACAGCACATTTAAGTGCTTGCTCTGACTTGCTTGCTTTCTATTAGTCATGAATTTAAAGAAGTTTGAAACTCTTCTTCATATTCTAAAGCTGTATGGTTAAAGTTTTATTTTTATAATTGCTTTGATACAGAGAGCAAAAATAACATTTGTTTGACTTAATATTTAGTTTTCTTTTTAAAGAGACAAAAATAAAACAAAGCTTTTTTTCAACTCCTCTGTGCTTAAAGACATCTAGTCTGTTGTTCTTTTTATTGTTGCTCATTCAAGATGAGTGTAAGCATTTTCCTACCAATGCAATAAAATTATGAAATGTTTGTTATGAGGGAAAATATATTTTTGTGTGGTTTCTCTTATCTGCTTGTCTAATAACGGTATATCCAATTGTAATTTTTATTCTATATTCTTTCATTCTCTGTTTTGGCATTGCCTCATGTATATTTACCTCCTAGATGCAAATGTCCTTTCCTTTAAGGCTGCAAAAAGTTGTAAACTAGGTTGCTATATTCCATGATGGTGTTAGTCTCTGAGTAACAGCAAACACAAAAACAGCCTCATGCTGATGTTAGACAGGACTGTTTTGACAGGAAAACTCAGATGAGAGTTTGTAATTAAAGATCAGGCTTTCTCGCAGATGGGGCTTTGTTGTTTTAAGTCTGAAGATAACTGTGCCTCACTGCCCCACACTTCCAAGAATACCGAATGTCCCTGTGCAGCTCTATCTAACCGTGAACTCATCAAAAATTATTGTGTAATTGTCTTTAATTATGTAACTCAGAGGAGGTGCAATTTGGCCCCATGTTGTTTTCTCTGGCCCTTGTTTTTCTACTGCTCTTTTGGGACTGTGGTCAAAAGAAATATCTCTTCTTGCCCTATACGCACAAGGGTGCAAGAAGAGCTGGTAACGCCAAACTTTATCAATGTCTTTACAAGTCTTATTGTTGCTCTCACTTTCTGTGCTGGTGCTTTTACTGTGTGCAGTGTGTGGGGCTGGGATGGGGTTTTCTGTGGTAGAAGAGACTCTGCAGGAAAAGTGTATGAACTTGGACGCTTCACAGAACTTAGATGGTGATGGTTTCTACCAGGATGGTGATGTGATTATTGGTGCTCTCATTAATGTACATAACCTTGCTGCAACTCCTGACCTGAGCTTCACCAGAAAAACGGAATTAGCGCCATGCTCAGGGTAAGTGATGTGCCCTTTTTCATTCTCTTTCCCATCTCTCTCCACACCTGTAAAGTACATGGAGTCTGTGTATTGATGTGTTTGGCAGAATAATATTTTATAAACGTGTACTGAATTTGTTCTCTGAGATTTTCCCTGCAGGTGTAGGATTTTCAATACAAAGATTTAATATATTAAATTAATACATTTATACATTAAATTTATATTTATTTATTTGATTAATTTGGGTTATGTATAACCGTAGCTCATGTTTAAGGTTAACAGGATTGTTAATGAAAAGTGCCTTTGTGTGTGTACAAATCTACATATATGAACATTTAAACAAAATGTATTTATGTTCATTGGTTCATTGAAGTGTTTATAGAATTATGTTTTATACAAGTTTGTATTTAAAAAAATTTTTTTTTATTAAATTATTATTATTATTATTACCATGTATTGCAAGGTTATGTGTAAAGTGTTACCCTTGTACTTTATCAATTTAAATACTTTTAAATACTTTTTACCCATGTTTTTTTTTTACCAATCATTTTAAAATATCTTGATCTCAAGTTAAATTTAGATTTATCTGCAGTCACTTTTTTGTAACATTACATTTCAGTGGCTTTTTTTAAACACAAAACATGCTAATGATGTGAACATAGAAATGTTAACATTACTAACTGCAGAATGCTACCTCTCTCTCTCTCTCTCTATATATATATATATATACATGTGTGTGTGTTTACAATACTTTTTTAAATGTATTTGCATTATTCCATCGTTATTTACTATATTTATATATAAAAAGTTTGCTCCAAGTTATGCTTTGCGGCACCCTAGACAGAAAAAAATTCATAATTATACTGGAAATTGTTTGTCTGCTGTCAGTTTTCAGGAACATTCTGTGCACTGGGTTCAGGCGATTGTATTTGCAGTTGAAGAAATTAACCGGAGCCCCTCTCTGTTGCCGGGGGTCCAACTGGGTTATCACATAATGGATAGCTGTTCCCGTTACCCCCAGAGCCTGATGGCAACTATGTCAATGATCAGTGGAGGAAACAAAACTTGCGGCACCACTAGACCCGCCAAGGTCATAATTGGAGATTCTTCTTCTACTCAAAGCATTCTTCTGTCCAGGACCCTGAGTCCCCTGCAGATCGCAGTGGTGAGGTTATATTACCCACCAAGAAATGCTGAAATGCTAGAATTGATGTTTGGTTATTTGTAAATATGCAATATAACATTTAAATGCATGCTCTGTCAAACATTGTTTGAAATATGCTTTCAGGTCAGCTACCTGGCCAGCTGCCCATGTCTTAGTGACAGGCAAATGTACCCTAATTTCTACCGCACTATCCCCAGTGATGCCTATCAGGCACGCACCATGGCACAGATGGCCAAACGCTTTGGCTGGACCTGGGTTGGAGCCGTGGTTGCCGATAATGACTATGGACGCGGGGCTGTGCAGGTGTTTGAAGAGGAAATAAAGGGAACGGGAATCTGCTTAGCCTTTTTTCACACACTCTACCGGGAGCAGTTAGCAAAGGATGTGGCCCGTGCTGCCGCAACAATCCAAGCCTCTTCTGCCCGTGTGATCCTGGTGTTTTCTTGGTATGTGGATGTAGAGGGGTTTCTTTTGGAACTGATCCGTAGGAATGTGACAGACAGGCTGTTCCTGGCCAGCGAGGTCTGGAGCACTAGCGCCTATCTTTTGGCCAATCCCCAGCTCTACACCATCGCTAAGGGAACACTGGGTGTAGCTTTAAGAAGCGTGCCCATACCTGGTTTTGATGCACATCTCCAGCAGCTACATCCTGCCCGCTACCCTGATGATGAATTCTTGAGGACCTTCTGGGAAAATACATTTGGCTGTAGCCTTACGAAAAGCACATCCAAGGCTTTTCAGAACGCCCTGCCTCCATGCAGTGGCAGAGAGAGTCTGGAGGGGGTTCAAAGTCCATTTACCGATACTTCTCATCTGACAGTGACGCATAATATTTATTTAGCAGTATATGCTGTTGCTCATGCACTTCATTCTTTGCTGGCATGCACCCCGCAAAATAACTCTGATCCTAAAATAAAACTAAAGTGCTCCTCTCCAGACAACATCACTCCAGCACAGGTATGCATCTCATGTGACTTTTTAAAAAATATGTTTATAAAAAGACATATTTAAAAATTTATTAATGTCATTGCATCAGATAACAAAATATTAACACAACTATCCAACTGGCATTTATTTTAAAGCACAATTTTCAAACACATTTATTTTAAAGAAAGCAAGCACAATTTTCAAACAAGATATTTCACAATAATAAGTCTTTTTACAAGAAGTTTGATGTTTAAAGTATCTTTGTGTTTTATATTTATTGAAATATTTTATTTAAATCAACTGAAAATCATACTCTTTCAGTGCAATTTTATTTACATAATTTATTATCTCCTACTCTTATTCAATTCTAATTTGTTGAGATAGTGAGTTGGTGGGTTTTTGTTAAATGTGAGCCAAAATCATCACAATTAAAAGAACCAAAGACTTAAACTACTTCAGTCTGTGTGCATTGAATTTATTTAATACACGAGTTTCACAATTTGAGTTGAATTACTGAAATAAATGAACTTTTCCACGACATTCTAATTTATTGAGATGCACCTGTATATTTTTCATATCAATCAATTTTATAGTTGTTCCAAACATATTAAATGTTCTCTCTTTTCCTGACATGTTCAGCTTTTACAGCACATTGGACAAGTTCATTTCACCACTCAGTCAGGAGAGGAGTTTTATTTCCAGGACGGCAGCATGCCACCTGTCTATAACCTGGTGAACTGGCAGAGAGCTCCTGATGGTTCACTTAAGTATGTTTCCATTGGACAAGTGGATGAGAACCAGCTCATTATTAATGAGTCTGCCATTTCATGGCCTGGAGACTCCGGGAAGGTGAGATGGGCTTGGCTTCTATCTAAACAATTATATAAAGAAGGTGTAATATATTGTGTAATATGTGTTCCCAGATGCCTGTGTCCGTGTGCACTTCTGAGTGTCCCCCTGGGACACGTAAAGCCATTAAGAAGGGTCTGCCAGTGTGCTGTTTTGACTGCCTGCTCTGTACAGAGGGGGAAATCAGTAACAGTACAGGTCATTAAAGTTCTCTAACACTAATTTATAAAGTCACTAAATACCATAAAGCTTTAATTTTCCTCTTTTTATTTTTTCCCTAGGCTCAATAAAATGTTATCGCTGTCCCCAAGAGTTCTGGTCTAATAGTTTCAGAAATGAATGTGTGTCCCGTGAGACTGAGTTC